TTCACTCACTGAGAGTGCAGCCCTGAATAAACGTATTTTGCTTGAGGAATACCGGTTGGATCAAAATATTTGATGCTTCTTCAATAAACCTCATCGGGTAAAGGAGGTAAACAGATTTATCCACGATATCTCTGATGCAAAGTCTGTAATTTCATCGTCACTGCATCAAAAAAAAGCTATTTTTATTACTGATTTTGACTGACTATCCGTCCGGGTTCATGCACAGTCCTCAGTTCATCCAGTCATCTATGCAGTTGGACTTACTATTTGACCGGAGAATTTTATTACTACTTACAAGTAGCCACAATCTGAAAATGGAAAGTAAATTTTTAATTTAATCATGACCATATGCTCGAACGGGTTCTAAATTACAACCATGTTCTGCCCAGTAGAAGTTAAATTACAACTCCTAAATTATTAAGTGTGTGATTGAATAAAAAAGAACCATTCAACAAAGGTAGATCCAATTTAAATTAAGGACAGGTACCTGAAAATCGACGGACCGCCTTTCCTCCACAGCACGTAGTTCCTTTTTCCGTAATTCACCCTCCAAAAGAAGCTGTTTCAGTTGAAGTTCCAGTGCCTCACACTGTTTGTTTCTTTCCTCGTAAAATGCGTTTGTGGAAATCAGTCGCTCATTCAACTGACTAATCTGTTCGTTCATAGATTCGGTTGTTGTGTTGAGCAGTCTTCTTAGGTCCGTTATTTCATGTTGCTGCTTTCTAGATAGGAAAACTATTAGGTTAGGAATATCATGAATCCGATTAGAGATATGAGATGTTTTACAATCGCCTGTGACAGTACCAGACGTATTTCATTAACCGGTTAAACAATTTGCGGTGAATGATCATGAAGACTAAGACATGCATATTGCGGACAAACAACTAACGTGAGGGTACCAAACCGCAGAATGACACTGTCATTGGGTACGTACGGTATGCTCGGGAAGCATAATTTGAAAATAAGATCGCGTTTTGTTAAGACGGATGCCCTAAATACGATGATTCTCAGTTCACCATCTGGTGTGGATTGTAAAGAATCTCACAATGCAATTAGCCACTGATTGTTTCTTTATTGCTGTCCCTATGTGGTAATGGTTTAATCTACAAATTCAGACCAACTGGCAGAAATTGTCCCAAAACTTTTCATATCAACCACTTTGAGGACAAGAGATGAAAATGTCTAAATATCGGGCGATACTACTTAATCACCTCAAGTAGGTTTTGAAATATCCTGTCAACATTTTGTTCCACATATTTCCCATTTGTATCTGTCTGCGATTTTATTCCAAGACACGTGAATTATCGATTATTTAAGCACAAAACGTATGTATTTATCCCTGACAGTGCAGTACAGGACTGACAGAACGCATTGATCCTCGACATCTGAACCTCCGAGGATTGTTGAACAGTCGGCATATGATCTTGCAGAATTTTCTATTTTTCGACCACATGCATCTGCCTCGTGGTAGACGAACGTCAGATGAATTTTCTGTATGCATCTGTCAATGGGAAACATGTTTGGCACGGCTGGTACCACACCTGACCGTTCTTTCAAGTTTGAATTTATACTGATTTAGTCCCACCGGCCGGTGTTTCTATATGATACAGAGTCATGACCGATTTTGGGAGACAGAAAAAAAGTGCAGTCTATCAATTTAATAGCTGTGATGACGCACTGGCGCAAATTTTGAATTCGCACAGACTTTTGGGCCCAGATACATACTGTATGTAGGTAGGTATGTATACGTTGGCTTGAACTAGTACAAACGTTAGATTGGGCCTCTCTCACGGTCAATTGGTCTAATCAAGTACTAAACAAGCTAACTAAATGCCAAGAATAGAAGTACTTATGTATTTCATTGCTTCCTAGTTCACCCACAATGTATATATCTTTATCTGAAAATTATTTAAGAAGTATTAGTTAAGTGTACTCTTTTAGTGATCTACTACATGAATAACCAACTGAAAGTATATCGCAGGGTTTACAAACTGAACTAACAAGGTTCAATCATTTAGTCGTATTTCAATTAACTTTTGTTGTTCAGCTCGTTGGAGATTCTTTTCCGACACGAGTCAATAGATAAACGATGCTCATAATATTTGGAAAGGTTAATATAATACAGGATACTGTCTGAGGAACCACGGCTGATTTTTCACATTATTTTTTTCTATCATACTACTATCCAAGATGCCGTTTTTCTTCAAAATTAAATTCAGATTTTCCTCCAAGTTTTGTCCTATATCAATTTTAAAATCATGAATTACAGGAAAATTAATGAGCGGTGGTGGTCCGGGGGTAAACGTCATCAGATGTGTGTTCGAATCCCATCATCACTACGGCTTTCCTTTCCCCATTCTCTGTGTGTGTTGTACGGCATCCCCGTTGGATTGGTCGCTTTTCTCTTCCGGAAATATGGACCATTATGTATTCAATTGTTCAAAGACACCAGGCACTGTTAGTGGTATTAGGTGTGGGTTTCACTCCTTGAGAGATCGTTAATTCCCCACCAATTGAGTGCGTTTATAAGATATGGAAAGATTTGTGATTACCGACAAACAGCACTGGACAGCTATTTCGTCCTGTTTTTTTTTTGGGGGGGGGGAGGAGGGGGACAGCAGTGCGCGTACTTTTTCTGTCCCCGTGTCAGGGCTCGAACCACGAGAAATTCGGGTCAGGGCTTCAAACCCTGGTCCATGCACTACATGACCAATAATCATCACCTTATGCCACAAGATTGGAACAATCCATTTGATTGTTCACAGGCACCAGATACTATTGATTTTTTAATGGCCTAAACCATTTGCATAACGTGATGATTGTCGATCACGTGGCTCAGAGGTAAGGATTTGAAGTCCCAATCCGAATGATCGCTGTTCGAGTCCTGTCACGCGGAGATAAAGAGCGGAACACTTTGAAGTATAACGTTCTTGTGATTTCAGAAACTATACTGGACACCAATCTGCATCTTTCTTCCTATTCACTTTAAAATCCAAAAGCTCAGTCAGTTTCGCACATCTCAGTCAGTTATGTCTACTTTTGGGTTATCGGTGTGTTCCCTCGTCTTACTTTATTGTTCCTCAATTATTTCTCCTTGTTTACTCAAACAGGATTTCCAAGTCTTACGCAGTGGTCTAACCATTATTTGCCATGTCTCTTCTATTCCTGTGAATGAGTTAGCTGTAAAGCTTCCAGAGTATCATATAACTTCCTGTGTCAAATTTGCGGAGAGGATTCTTACAGATCCTGACCATTGATTGCACACAAAACTGACACATTCTCGTTCCCATTCCTCCATTTGCTTCCAATTTCACCATTTTTATCTCAAATAAACTTGTACCGAGAATCACCTATACCCTTCTATCTTGCACGTTTACTCACAAACAAAGAGAGGATAACAAGTGAATCTTATCTTTATCCCTAGATTATAGAATGTTCCCATGTTTGCAAACATTTTCTCCCCCGTCGAACAGGTTATTTGTGATGGTTGGTATGATTGGATTTTTACCTGTAAGCTTCAGTGCTTGCAAAAGTTATACACAACACACAATACAGAATCTAAGAAAAGGGATACAAACAAACTATCAAATGTGTTGACTATATAGTTCACATGTAGACATTGCAAGAGCATACTTTATGATTTTATTGGCTCTGTGAAGCTCCTCGTTTTGTGCGCGTTGAGCTTCGGAAAAGTTTGTCCATTGTACGACCGTCTGACTTGGACAGGTTGCGTAACTTTTCCTCTCGACTGGTTCACAATTTATCCCCTTGTCTGAAGATGCAACTGTCCGACAAGTATTCAATCGGCATTGAATCAGCTCCAAATTGATTTTATCCACAGCTTCGGAAAGAGTTGAGACTTGGCCTTGAGACTTGATGAGCCTACAAAATGTAAGAATCCAGTGACGGGGCTGTGAGATCGAATTGGAGAATAGCTACCTGTCTCGAAGTTCCTGAATCTCTTCTTGAAGCTCCGCATTTCGGTCTTCTTCTTGCAAAAACTTTGACTCGTACTCACGAGCAACTTGCATTTCATGATCGGCATGCTCTTTCAACAGCATGATCAATTCCGATTGTTCATTTAGCCGTGATCGAACAGATTCCAAATCGGCAGCGTCAAACTCCGAACCGTCCTTCACCAACATGCTCCGCTTGTAGATAGGATTGATTCAGCTTATGTGGTACAGTAGCTGGTTTCTAAATCAAGGCAGTCGTAATGAGTGTTTTTTCAAGATGGGAGAAATGTTACGGCAATTATGATCATGGTTAGTGCGGTTTAAAGGATTAAATTTACCTTCACTAGCTTGCTTTCTGCCCCAAGTTCCAAGATTAGAATCTTGCTATATACAATCATCTTCCGACCGACTACTTTATCCATCCTGTACAGAGCATACGTGGTTCTCCATTCCAAGTCCTGGGGTTTAGGTTTTTAATGATCATAGATGCACAGTTATGTAATCGCGGTCGTAATCACTGTATCCAGTGATCAAGCTACATAGACTGTGATGGTTGGTTGGGATGTGTATTGCGTCCGACACCAACTAGGTNCTAGGTTGCCACGGCGAGCGATGTTTGCCGAGGCAGGAGGCGGTCGGGAAAAGGTCAATGACGGTCAAACGAAGACCTGGCATAAAGGTAGGAAAACCCTAACCCGAACACTGAGTCACATAGGTCCCGTTAGGCGCCCTTAATGGGGACTGCGAGATCATGGTTACCGGTAGTTAGAGACACTGAGCGATATGACTGAGTGCTGCTCACGCATCTGATTATTATTATTATTATTGCAACCTCAGTCTAAATGAAATCTCTATCTTCATTTGACTCTGTTCTGAACATTCTAATCTTCATTCAGTTTTTTTATCCAACTGAAACGGAAAAACGCAGCAATGAAAAAGGGTGTATCAAACTATATGGTTAATGTGTAATAGATTGAACCGTTACTAGTTTATTATTATTATTATTATTCAAATAAAGCAAACAGTAGCTAACAAGCTCGTTTTCAGTGATTCGTGGTCATGCCTAATGCATCACAATAAATATCACGTGTTTACATATGTGTCAATCTTCAAACAATATTGATCGATGATTTTCAACATCCTGATCCCCGGGTATATGCGTGTAAGACATCAGTGAAAAATAATTAACCGGGAAAAGTCTACGTTCACATTCTTGCCGTGCAATATAATCTTGTGGTGTGTTAAGCAAATTTTACGGGCTGGTCACTTGCACTTCATTACTGCTCGTTTTGTCCCCCCGTATTGTGTACTCGGATAGTCTATGAACTAAGAAAATCCTTCACAACAATCAGGCACTTAGGTTTACTTCTGGACTCTTGCCAATGAGATCGTCTAAGTCGCAAGTGGTGCCTGGTAGACGTTAGTGTTACAACATCAAAAGATTTTCAGATTACTACTCGTGGTAGAATCTTACCGAGACGTCAACTGCAATGAAATCAATCGCTGCTTAATTACTTAGTCCGATCAATTCAACACAGACAAACAATGAGCTTAGTATGTAGTGTCAATCTGCATCAAGTTACCCGGAACGACAGTTCCTCGTGTACGTGTTGAACAAATTTTTTTTCTGGAATGACTGTACATTAACCCCATGTCACAAATATACAGTGAGTAAACTCAAACGAAATAAATTATTTCCAATAAGTTGCATTAGATGTTTGGGGTAGGGATTACCGATAGATTTGAGGCTATCAAGAAGAATAAAGAAGTGAGTAGGTTTGCTTAGATTTTGTGGGTCTAAGTGGATGGAGTGTTTTCGCTGATTCCCGGATGAGCTATATATATAGGTACAAATGTAGCCGGTCCGTAGGCCCGTAAACTAGTAGAATACCCACTAAATTTACCTTTTACGTATTTCTTTGCTTCCGTGGAACACAATATGAATTACTAGAATTCTTTAAGGCTATGGGCATAGGAGGACGCCAGGGGTCAATAGATGGACGAAAAACATGTGCTAGAGCCCGACGTTTACGATGCGAAGTTTAACACAGACTATATACGAAATGGACTGTGTACCGAAGGGCCAAGGGTGATATTGTGGTGTTTTGTATGCTGTTTGACATGATTTGCATGTGGGCCAAATACTACCAGATGACCCAGGCTAAGGCAGATGAAATGTTTTGAGGAATTCACAACCGGAGCCTTCGGCTAACCAAAGCCTGACCGGCAAGGCAGCGGGACAATGTGTGAAAAGCGCAATCCATTGGGAGCCGGTGTTCAGTTCATCGGATCATATGGGCTTTTCACGGAGTCAAACGTCCAAGGTGCCCAATACACCTCGATGCCTAATCGAGCAGGTAACCACTGCCAAAACCAGGAAAGTGTGTGTGGTTCTTGCACCTACTCTTAGTTTATTTGGAATCAGGGATTTTAGCCAAACCCTCAAGGTGAACTACTAGTGGTTCGCCAACGTGGTTATAGTCCCGGATGTCGGCTTTTCGTCCTCTCACATTGGTGGTAAAACACCCACCACCAGAAGGCTACAGGTGTATCTAGTACCTAGGTCACTGTTTGCCTACTTACCCACGTAAGTGGGATACAACAAATGCCTTCCTTGTGTCGCCATTATTGAACACTAAAAATTGCACATTCACACACAATATCGTTTTTCACACATAAAGGCTCTGACATTGAACCCTGTTGGTGAGTAACTCTACAATAAAAATCGATTTAGCCCGCGCATATGATTGGATTTCTGCCTAAAAGGAGTCATTCACTAACCGAACAAAATCGTTTCCTTTGAAGCTTTTGAAATTCACTCTTAGGTAGTCTGGGACGACAGAGACTGTTTAGAACATTCAAAGCTTCAACAAATACTTCTTACGAGGTTTTAAAAGGCTTTATGCCGCAGAAAATACGTCTGAAAAGCATATTCCACGATAAAATGTCATTTGTGTGAAACAGATAAACGCTTTTGGGTCCTTATGTGGACAATGGTCTATAAACGTCCAATGTCATATTCTTTTAACTGTGAACATACAGTGTCATATAAAAGATAGACAGCACCTCTTTTGTTCATCTAATCTCTATTCTTCATTGGGTTATCGCCTTTCTATCTTGTAATAACTCGAACAAGGTCAGAAGCATCCTACTCTAAAAGTCTACAACCCGCCAAATCTCGATATACGTTTGCATTCGTATTTGACGCGCCCGAGATGCGATATGAGTTTATTCGTGTCCTATTTTCACTATTTATAAATCTTCATTGTTTGCATTAACCTCGTTTTTCGACTGATAATCTCCACTGCAACTTAAGCACACGGTTAAAGAGGGGAATACATAACATTTCTCAAGTGTAATTACTCCGCCGTCGATAGCTTTTATAAATTCCATCTCTTTTCTATGCTCTCATGTCCAATTAACAAAAGATTATATCTAAGGCACAAGAAAACTACCAAGAAACAGAAAGATTTTGTCATAATATCTATATTTTTGTCATTTCAGTTGTAGTGTGATGGTTTTGTCGTCTTCTAGGTCAGTAGCACTGCCTGACCATCGGGACTTTATGTAATTTGCCATTCCAAGTTCTAAGGCTTGATTTCCAGTTACCATGCATCTCACTATGAATACTGCAACAAAAAGTAGCATTGCTCAAACGCACTCTCATTCGACAATCGCTTTTACTGAACATTCGCGCTTCAAAAATAACCATAATATTGATTCTTCACTTCGATTTCTTTCTTTCACCTCCCCTATTGCTCTATTTTTAACCAGAACGCAAATTTATGCTTCTACAGACACTAACGCTCCTCAAATTCCCCATTATTCTTTTCACCAACCGCTAAATTCAGGCTATGTGGCTGAAACTTTGGTTTACTTCTTTCAGCCACTACTTTGTGTAGTAGCAACCGCTGTTTGTTTGATATTTTATTGATAAACATTGAGAACATCGTTTAAACAGAGAGTGGCTGTAACACACACTCACGCGCGCATAGCAGAGGCATTTTCCTCTTTGAACAACTTACACCAACTGGCTAATTTCCTGACCTGTATCCACGCTCAACTTGTCCTCAAAGCCAACCCACAATTATTTTTTAATATATCTACAATTCTTACCATCGAATCACTGCTTTATTTTCCTTTCTATTCAAGCTGTCCGTTCTATCAATCTTTGTAATTACGGTCGCACACTTTGACAACACGATTCCGCTGATTAATGTGGCTTCTGTAAACTCCTGGCTTCTTAACCCTGGAATGGCCATTAATTCCTGCAGATACCTCTGTTCTGACTTTGAAATTTACCAAATTTCTTTTGCAAAGTATGTAACTATTTATTTCTTACTTTTCTAAAGCCGGCAAAACTCTTCCTCCAGGATAGGCACAAAGCAGTACAATTATTAATCGTTCTTTCTGGAAGCCTGATCTTCTGGTCACTTACTGAGTTACTCTTCCGTAACTTCTGTTCCACTAACTTCTCAATTATCGATAAACCAGCTGGTGACCTATTGTTTGCTTCGAATTTTTCCTCTTATTATACTCTAATTTAATTATTTATCCAATCTTCAAGGAATCATCTTTTACACCATTCATTTTCATCAGAAATATACGTTTGATCCACTGATAATTGGACCCGAACATGAATACAAAGAGATTCTTTTTATCACCTCAAAACTGTACGCTCCAGAACTAACACACCCATTCTGCCCTGCTTTTTCTCTCTATACTCCGATTATTGGGTATTTTAAACCCCATCAAAAATATGTGTAATACTTATCATCCCAAAACGCGGCTATCACTCAGACCCAAACAATCACCGCCTCATCTCTGTTCATAAATTATTTCAAATTTGGAATCAGTCATTGTTGATCAACTCCACCCCCATATGGAGTAGAAAAAGATGTTTAGAGACCGTCAGTACGGTTTCTGGTCCAATCAACCTACCAGTGATTGTGTGGTGCTGATTTTGCAAACATGGTCAGCAGCATTCTATAATCAATGAAGAACCCATATAATGTAATTGAATATATTGAGAGCTTTTGGTTATGTCTAGCACGCAGGTCTGCCGGCTTAAATGGCAAAGTGTGGCTTTCCATCGGAAATTTAGTCCTGGGCCAAAAAGCTGTTTTCAGCAGTTCAGCACCCCTGTTTGAGTATACGGGACCATGTCGCGTTTCGTGCCTGTGAATGCT